AATTTTATAAAATGAAATTTATTCTCAATAAGCCCTAGGTTACAGAGCTGAGAAAAATGAACAATATGAATAGGAAAAATAGATAAACCAAGGGTATGGAGGAGAAGATCAAAAGGATGTTGCTTCATTGTCATCACAATTTTGAAAATCAAATAGTTTCAGAATCCCCTGAAATCATCAGCTTCTTTTTCTGTGATTTAAATAAGAATTTGGTTATAGCTAAGACAGTCTTTATTTTTGGTCATGACCAAGTAATGCTTTTATTCTTTCCTCTCATGCTCTTTCATATACTGATATAGCCTATGCTATTTTCTATATTCAAACCCTTTTCACAGCATGTTTCCCTAACCACTAGACTTCACAGATGCATTTTCTTTTCATAACATTTAAGAGATTTAAAAAATTATATGTATATGTTGAATAGTTAGCTCTTTCTTCTATTTATAATTAAATTGTATGTATACACAAATGACATACAAACATATAGTCTATAGCATATCCCCACTTAGATTATTTTTTGGGACAGGGGCCTAGCAATGTGTCCTGAATGACTTGAAGCACACCTTCCCCTCCCCTTCACACAACCAGTACAGGGCACATAAAACATATAACAAAACTTCATGAATGATGATGTGATTTAATTCTCCCTTGTTTCTGAATTTTCTCATATCTATGATATTTTCTCTCTGCTCTTTCACTGTAATCCATATCATTCCTATTTTTTTTTTACTACTATCAAAATCATTTTTAAAAAGGAAATCTATGCTGATGAAACTTTCTGCCCCCTAGACATTTCTGTTACTTGATTTTCTCAGCAATTCAATTTAATATAAGGCACATTAGGTTTGCGTGTGCTTTTATTTGTATGTGTATACACACTCAATCTGAGTGGAAGCCTGTATCATGTCAACAGCTTTGGTGAAAATGCATTTGTATTTGAAATCCTTGGTAGAAAAAAAAATGTTTCCTTCTTCAGATTGTAACTGACTGAGAAAATGCACTTACCCATGAAAACTCAAGTGGTCAAGGAAGTTGACATACGTCTTTGAGTTGGGTGACTCACAGTCCTGTAAGTCTTTTGAATGTTGGAAGAGGCAGCAATAGAGGATTGCTTGTAAAAACAATGACATTCACTCTGAAAGATTAATGATTGGAAGACATTGTATGAAATATTTCACAAAGGACTGTGATGTCCAGACCTTTTAAAGTCTTAAATAAGAGGCTGAAAATAGTCTGGTCTATAGTCATACGTCAATTCAGATTCTATAATTAGGACAGTTTTTACATCCTTCTGGGATCCTAAGAACTAGGCCCTCTGAGAGTCAGAAGAGCTAAAGCAAGAAAGAAAATAGATGACTCAAGGACCTTATTTAATACGAGAAGAAGATAAGATAAAAAAAAAAGGAAATTCAAATTACAAAAACAACTTTCCACTTCTATAAAGCACTAGTAATGGAAGAATTTTAGCTGGAGGACTATAGTTTGGAGGATTTTAGCTACATTCAGACAAAAAAGTTTACAAACGTTGAAAATTCATAAGAAACCATGTTATCCAGCTTGGAGATTTATAGGAAGACTGAATTGATGATAGAAGGCAGGGTTTGATGAAGGCAAGTATGGTGGTACCTTGGGGGATTCCTACTTTTGTAACCAATACAGAACAACTGAATAAAAAGCCAAACAATTGGATCTCTTAATTCTATTCAGGAAATTATTGTCAGGGAAATGACTTTTTTCAGCAACCATACATTGTGGGTTGTGCTTTAGAAAGTATTGTGTTAGGTATACAGGGGTACAAAGATAAATAATTGCACAAAATCCATCAGACCTGGTAGGGGAGCTGATATGAGCATAACTGTGTGATAAGAGGTTTGCACAAGCCAAGGGACAGTGACTGGGCACCCACAGGAAGGTCTGTTTGAAGACAGTCAGGGCTGTGATTTGTCCAGTGGTTTTATGAAGAAAACACTAGGAATAAGAAGGCTCATTTTTGTGTCTAGGTCTTTCAGGAAACAAAGAGGAAAGCTGATGATGGTAGTGGCTAGCCTGACAATTTGAGATGTCTAAAAAGGACTAGAATCACTGGGAAAATATTTTTAAACTCTTCAATATCATGACAGACTGAAAATACAGTGGGGATTTTTAGGTGAAAATCTGAGAAAGCAAGAATAAAAATAAGAAGAAAAATATCAAAGAAAGAAAGAAAATTGTCTCCTTTTATAGCTGACATGATTGCCCATGAAAAAAAAAAATCTCTGAGAACAGATAAAAAATTACAAACCCTGGAACTAATAAGTAATTACAGCAAACTTGTAAGATATTTCTGGTAATTGAATATAGGTATACTTGCGACATATGAAAATACTTAATTGCACTACAAGGGTATAAATATACTTAACAGCAAGGATAGTAGCAAAAAAATGACTGTGCACCTATAAAAATGTACATGGGTGATTTTCTGAGGATTTGCCCCTCAGATGAAAGATGTTTTGGGAGATGTCTAGAACTGAGCTATTCCAAGTAAAATGAAATCTTTTATTTTATAATACTCGGTTTTCTGAAAATGTGTGAACCTACTACTATCTCAAATTAGGGAAGATGCTAATTTAGAAAAATAATGCATTGATATTTTGTCTGTCAGTGTATCTAGCCAATCAACATAGTCAAATAATCTTTGACTGTCAAGGCTGTTATATATTAATAAATAAGAAAACAGAAGCCTGTGTTTTAGAATAATCTTTCATTAATTTACATCCTTGAAGTGGGAGAATTTTTGCTGGCTAAGCACAAATTTACTCATTTGTAGTGGCCTCTGTGGTGGCTACTTAGTTGTTGTATCTCAACTTGAATCTCTCCTTTCTGTACTTTATTTGAGCTAGCTTAGACTGATAGTCTTCAACTTACATTTTCTTGAATCATGATTGATCTGCTCAACATTAAAGGGTGTTTTAGATAATACACAAAGCCAAACTGATAGGCTACAAAACCAGTTTTAATGCTATTACACTGTATTTTGAACAAAGTCACAAAAGTCTTCTAATGCCTATTTTGCCTTATTTTACTCTCCCCTATGATGTATTCAACAGAGATCTACATATAGGAGACAATGACAGATGGGGAATTTAAATTCCAGTTTATTATTACTGGCTGTTTATTCCCGAAACCTAAGTGCTGATTTCTCTGTAAGTTCAAATGGAATCCAAGGCTTAGTTGGAAGGCCTAAGGGACTTTGATTTTTCATTGGATCCAACCCTAAATCTAAAATTCTTACCATTTTCCTGCAAATGACATGACTAGATTGGTGTTAAAATTAACCAAGTGTGTGTGTAAAGAGAAAGAAGAAGAGCTGGGAGAGGTCCCAGCTCAAATTAATTATACAGTGATATAAAAAGGCAAGTATAGAAAGCCAGAAGAAGAATAATTCCAATATACATGATCTTTTAACACATAGTGATCTTGCTGCCTGTCAGCGTTCACTTTCCATAGCTGTCACATGGCTTAGTGGTATAATGTTGAAGAGGATTACTTATGCATTCTACTTTGTTGATGAAAAAAGCCATAGTGTTTGCAAGGAGTTGGGCATGAGCATTATAGGCACATTAATAAAGGAAGCAGATGATGTGGGCTCTTTATCAATTCTACTCAGTGGTAGCCAAGATTTTAATTCTCTGTCAGTTTTCTCATTATTATAATATACACTTTCTAGGGCTGCTCCTAAGTGCAAATAAAGTAACATTTACATACAGTACAGGCTTAATAAATTTAGCCCATTGAGCTGATTCAAATTGTAGTTATCAGTTTATTTCTTACATGAGATAACTTGACAGACTAGAGGCCTGGGTTGAGCTATAAGCCTAAGGAAGGGAGACCTTGGTGTTAAATAAAATTTGCATCAGCTTCTGTGATCTACAGGCCCTGTACTCATCAAATAAGAAGCTTCAAAATATAGAGGAAGTGTGTTTGGCTTCCATCCTTGGCAGACAGGCACAGCATCCCATGATGAAACAGGATCTAGGAGTGAAACATCCCAGACCCTTCTCTCTGGCTTCCACCCCTGGAAGGTGAACATCATTGATGAACAGGCTGGACAGGACAAAGAGAGCACTCTGAAATAAAAGAATTCAGTCAGCAGATTTTGTGAACAAGTGGATCTTGGGAAAAAAAAGATAAACTGAGGAGACAGTGTGCTGCACGGAACTCCCATATACTCTCACTCTTACAGAAAGGAGAGAAAACTGAAATATTTGACTCAGATTCCGAGCTGAAATGTACAGCAAACTCCAGCATTACATGGAGAACATGAATTGCTTGCTCTTTGCACAGTTTTCTAGTAATGAGATGCTTTTAAATTAAGCCTGCTTTCTTGACTGTTCTAACCAATGGCCCTCTAATCATTGCCCTTCTAAATATCTGCAAAGAATTCTGATTAAGTTTAGACTTTTGACAGCACAAAAATTATTGAAAAATCGTCTCATGTGTATATGAGACACACAAATGGAAAGCTTTTTGTATAATATTTTTAATATTAGTTGGACTATGTATCTTATACCAAACACACCCAAGCAGTTTATAAAACATTATCTCATTTAAAAATTGTGATCTGATGGTAATAAAAACTGAGATCAGGAAGCATCCCAAAAGAAAGCAATGGAGATCTACAACCTTCCTTGATCTCTAAAACAGAAAGTTGGGGTTAGTTTCTTATCTGACTGAAATTGGCTAACATTCTTTGTCAGAATTTAGCATTCTGAACACCTATGTTTTCCTATAATAGTCATTCAGTATTTTCCCCTCAACTGAAAATTAAAAAACCCAACCAACTAAACAAACCAAACCAAGCCTTCAGTAGTCAATAATTTGCATGATTCAGTCAAGAAGTTATGTTTTCCCAAATTTTATATTGAGAAGTACAGGAAAAATGGTCTGTCACCAAACACTGTGCTCAATTGTGTGATCATTTCTGTTTGGGGGAAATTTCCACTTTTGCTTTACTATTTAGATTAACTTTGTGGTTGGGAAATTGTTTTTCCCACGACTCTATGAAGAGCTGATTTGAACTCTTTATTTCTCAAGGTGTAAATCATTGGATTGAACAATGGAGTTAGGATTGTGTAGGAGACTGATATAAGAGCATCCTGACTTGAGGAGTAGTTGGATTTAGGCCTCAGGTAGATAAAGGAGGCACAGCCATAGTGGACAGTGACAACAATGAGGTGAGAAGCACAGGTGGAAAAAGCTTTGTACTTGCCCACTGTGGAAGGAAATTGAAGTATGGCAGAGATGATGCGAATGTATGATACCAAGATCAATGACAGGGGAATAACTAAGACCAGTGAACAAAGCATGAAGATGACAATCTGATTAAAGTGGGTATGATGAGATGCCAGCTTGAGGACAGGAGAGATGTCACAGAAGAAGTGATGGAGTTGGTTGGAGTAGTGAAAGGGCAGACGAAATACCAGGGAGGTAATGATCTGTGCAACAGTGAAGCCACAGGCACAAGCGACAGCCACTAGTCCCCCACACACCCCAGGCCCCATGATCAGGGCGTAGCGCAGAGGGTTACAGATGGCCACGTAGCGATCATAGCCCATGGCTGCCAGCAGGAAAGAGTGAGAGCAGCCAAGGAAGAGAAAAGTAAACATCTGGATAGCACAGCCCAGGAAGGTGATGATTTTCTTCTGAGCCAGAAGATCAACCAGCATTTTGGGTACAATGACAAAGGTGTAGCATGTCTCAGAGCAAGAGAGAACAGCAAGGAAGAAGTACATGGGGGTGTGAAGGGCTCTGTCCAGCACAATGGTGGAAATGATAATGGCATTGGTGCCCAGAGTGAACAGGTAGACGAGCAGGAAGACAACGAAGAGTAATCGCTGCAGCCCGGCCAGAGAGGAGAAGCCGAGGAAGACAAACTCCCTCACTGAGGTCTCATTGACTTGCTCCATGGAGGGGACATCATCATGAGACAATCTGGGAAAGAGAAGAAAAGTGCCAAGAGAAAGTTGTGAAACTTTGTAGAGTGATAGGAAATCAGTCATAGAGAACAGCTTTGATTTTGAATTTTAAACTCACATTCCTCCTTCCTGCAGATTTTTTTTTAAGGCAGGAAAAAGTATTTTTAAAAAGTCAGACACAGCATAAATCCAACTTTGAGACTCCAAAGTAATTCTACCACTGCAGACAAAAAGGTTCTTGGCATTTCTCAGATTCAACTACCATCTCCATTTTGAGAAAGAGGCTGTTTTTCAAATTCTGAGCCTCTCATTTTCACTTTATTCTTTGTCCATTTGGCTTTCTTGCTGTCACGTGCTCCCACTTTTCTAGCATTGTGAAACAAACCATCTGAATGCATGGCATGTACACACATATATATATATACATACACACACACACATATATATTCACACACACACATACATGTCTCTATATATGACTATATATAATCTTCAATAGCTTTTCAGTATCATTCTCCTTACACATAAACTCCTGGCATGGATCATCAATTTCATCTTCTTACACTCTCAGTTAGAAAGATTTCTCAATATGGAATGTATCTATCTGTAACATCCTCCTTGCATATCTTCCTCCTAAGAGAATCCGTTTTTACTGAAGATTCTGGTTCACTTTTATTACTTCTTCTATGAAAACCATGTTATTCTCATCCCCCGCACATCTGGCCTGTTTCCTAGTTCTTGTATGCATAAATAAATAAATCTTTAAAAAACCCAAGTATTAAGTAGTGTGGTTATAAATATGTGTCAAGCATTAGAATTCAGCTTTAGGGATACAAATATAAACACCACCCAGTCTAGGACCTCAAGCTGCTTGTAGTTCAACAGTGAAGTGAAATGTATTCAGAAGAGATCACTATTATTAAATGACATGATTGAAATGATAGATATGAACTTGCCATTATGAGAGAAATGAGGAGACCAATCTTGCATACATCTTTGGAAAAGAGTATTTTTATACTTATTTCTGAGTTTCTTTGTATCTATTACAGAAATATTGATCTAAAAAATTCTTAGAAAATATAAACTGGGTATACTTTAGTTTCTACTACTTTAATCCAGATGTAATTCAGGTAACCGTAGTTGCTGCTGGCTTCTAGGGAGTTTCTCTTGTGCCTGATGTTTTCTGTTCAGAGTGATGGCACCCACCCACCTCAAACTTTGCAAAAGGAACAAAAGTCTCTTCTCTACCTTATTCTATAGTATTCTATAGTATTCAGTCTGATTTTTGGCTCAATGCTTACATAGGATTTTATTGCTAATGTACCATATCTTTCTAATTCCAGGATCTAAATTCTCAGGAGTACTGATTAATTTCTACATATGATCTTGAATTTTACCTTTTACAAACATATGTGAAATTGAGTAATAAGAAATAAAATGATTCTTAAGCTTAGACAGATTTAGATTTAATTTTGAATCTGGGATGTCCTAATGGTAAGATTTTAAATTCTTTGAGAACCATTTTCTCATTCGTTTGGTGACAAAGTAATTTTTGCCTCCTAGGGCTCTAGTGAAAATTGAAGTCATGTATATGAAAGAGACTAGTTCAAAACAGTAAATGGTTGGTAAATACTTGTCTTTCATTACTTCACCGTCACTCTGTGAGGATGGATTCAGGACATTTTTTTTTTTAAAGTAAGTGATATAATGAACATTTAATCTTTGGCAAATTGTTGAAGCTACTTTTTCCACACTTTCTCAAAGAGGAACATTTAAGAGGGATTAGATTTGGAGATGCACAAGGTTTTCTAAATCTAACTGAAAGTAACTTGGCTTTCCACAGCGTCATTTTCTGCAGTGGAAGGAGGCAAGGGTTATGGGGTTATGGATCTTGAAATGCTAAGCTGGTGCTTTGGTATTTGTATGCTTTTTTGTCAGAATCATTCATTAGCGTCTCTATACCTGGTAGAAAGCGAAGGAGTTTCCTAAACTTTCTATTCTGTGGGGAGGCTATGGGATACAGTTAGAAAATGAAATTCTACTTAATCCTAGCCACATGTAAATGTAAACTTAGGAGTCCTATGGATGCTTTATAGTGATCGATGAGCTATGTATTTAGGCTACAAACTCAACTCTTTGCTTGGCACTTACTTATAGACTACAATGTATTGTTTTACAACTTTCACACTATCATTTCATGATTTCTCTTGTATCTTCAGCACTGCAGATATAAATAGGGATAAAATCATTGTCCATTTCTCAGAGGAGAGAAAACAATATGTTATGTTATAAAATAACCATAAACATGATAAAAGAAGTACAAGAAGAGTATCCTGAAAATCTTGAGGGAATGCAGAAATTTCAAGGAAGACTTTGAAGAACAAATACTATTTGAATGTCACCTGTAAACATTTTGATAAACCTTGGAGTGAATCTTAAAGCAATTACTTATATAAACATTGTGATTGAGCTGATCAATCTTTTCTTTAATACTGATTTACTTTTCAGAAATAAACAAGCACTGCTGTTTTGCTTAATAAACACACAGAGACAGTCTACTTATGAAGGATGTATGTTTACACAGGTTTGGGAAAAGAAGCAGTATTCACTCCCTCTCTTTTCTTCTGTTTATCATAAACTTAATATTGAAGTCACAAATAAGCAACAAAACCCCCAAATTCATACTCAGTCGGGGAGTGTCATTCCAACTTAAAAGTCTATCAGCATTACTTTTGACATTTCTATAAGAGAAAATAGAACACAATTTTGGTATTAGTCTATCAATTAAAATCTAGATCCATCTTTTAGAGAACTATATGGTATAGGGAAATCTGAAAGTAACTGAATGGATGATCTTTGTCTTTCAGATGAACGTGATTCCCATAACAATGAGCTTTCTCTTGCAATGCTTATTATGCCAGAAATAACTTCCTCTTTGAGTATAACAGTTGTTCATGTGTTCTTTCCCTGATCCTACTTATTCTCTGTGAGTTATGCTAGTATTTCTGATTTTGTATTTCCAAGGGGCAGGATTTTTGTGTCTTTATCTTTCACTATAACTGCTTTCAAAACACTCATTAAGTTATTTGACCTGTATTAAGTATTGCCATTTTGTCTAGATCCCACTTAATACAACAATTTCTATAAGATTTTTGTAGATATGCACACACAATGGAATATTATTCAGCCTGAAAAAAGAAGGAAACTGCCATGGACTAACCTGTATATACTAAATAGGTAAAGCTACACAGAAGAATTAATTCCACTCACATGAAGTATCTAAAAGAATAAAACGTATAGAACTTCAGAAGGAAATAGTGGTTTCCAGAGCCAGGGGGATGAATGTAGTGGGTAGCAGCTATCGATTAGACATAAGATTTTAATTACACAAGATGAATATGTTGTAGATTATCTGTTGTACAGATTATGCCTATAGTTAACACAACTGTATCATGTACTTAGACATTTATTTATAGGGTGGATGTTATGGTAAGTGTTCTTACTAAAATAGAACAAAAACTTTTGTGATTAAAGTATTGTTGATGATGCATGAAATCAAAATCAAGACAGTGTCTATAGAAGGTTAGAATGAACACTGAGTCAGTTAATTTTGAATATGTATAACATTTATATGTGTAGATTTGAAGAAATTCATTTCAAAACTAAATCCTTGGCAACACTGTTTGGAGTCCACACTTTTCACTGTGGCTGTCCCTGCGCTTTCCTGGCGCTGCTCCAGGATAACCCTACCGCCCACCTCTTACCTGAGATGTGAAGATACTGGCCTGGGATATCCCTGCCGGTTTCTCAGTGTTATAGGAGCTAATCCAAGGTGAATGTCTGTCATTCAGAGATGAGTTCCCATTTGCCGCTCCCTTTCCCTATGAGGAACCAGAGTTGCAGAGGTTCCAGGAGACAAAGTCCAAGTTGAAGTAGAGAAAGTGGGGGATAGGTCACACAGGGCAGAGACACTGGTCTCTCCTGAAGTGTGATGATGGTCTGGGGACTTAAACCCCGACCAAATATAGCCAGTTTCCTCCTACCATTTTATGCCAACTGACAAACTGCAATTCACAGCTAAGAGTGACCATACAGTGGTTGGCATTTTCATTGTATTTATTGTTAGCGGGGTTCTCCTGTGGTCTCCTGATGCCAGTCATTGCCATGGAGACGTTACACTGGGTTTAATTAACAATTGAGTGGATGGTGGAAAATAGAAGCAAGTCACAAAATGAGAGATTGCTCAAAATTGGGCCTGGGCATTAGGGCTTAGGAAGCAGTGGCAGCAATTTTAGAAAATTTGATTTATTTTAAGTTGATTGCTCAATTTTACATGTCATTGAAGGGACTAGAGGGAAATTTGTACAGATAATTCATGATGGTAGGTATATTATAAAACATGCTAGAGTATTTTTGTATTTATAACTGGGCATGTAGTTTCCTTTCAGGCTGAAGGTAGATTGAGTAACTTTGATTTTTATAAGGCCCTGGACACAATAGGCAGAAAGGGGATTCATCTCACTTCTTAACCCTTGAGTTCATTTTTTTTAAAACCTCTAAATTGTATTAGGGAGACTCTAAATATACATGAACTGACTATTGGGTAAATCAGTGGTTATAGGTAATATTAGTTCAATGATTTAACAACCTCTCAGTTTAAACAAAATATCATTTGTCTTCTAATAGCCAAGATTTTAAAGATTTATTTATTTATGCATACAGAACTGGGGTACAGGCCAGAGGTTTGGGGGGTGAGAGGGTTCACCAGAGACAGAGTGGGGAGCAGAACAGGCAGATTCACTGAAGTACACTGCTGAGGGGAGCAGCAGGTGGGTCAGGAGAGGTCTGCCGTGCCATATGGGTCAGTTTCCTAGCTGGGGATTGAACTCATGCTGAAGCGGCTGTGGTCAGCTTCACAGTGCTATGCTTAACACATTATGCCACTAGGAAGGGCCCCATAATAGCCAACATTTATGGTTTCTACTTGTATT